TGGTTCAATACACTGTACTTATGTGATCAAATGAAAGGAACACAGTGTCTACTGTATCGATTCCATAAATAATGTGAGTTTTCACCTAGCTTGAAGCAGCACTCTCGAAACAGCTGACAGTCATTTGCTCATCAATAATACTTACATGAGAAAATTAAAACAATTAGTCCCTTTGATAAATCTGAATAAGGCATTTAGAAGACAAATTTTGTGAGATCATATCGTCATTTCGTAGTTTTTTTTTTACTACAATCGCTTTACAATTAGCATGGTTCACAATAATAAAATAACATGCAATGCGTGAGAATAATACCTTGACGCGCTTTTCGATTAGTATGCTACATTTGCTTAGTTACAAAAGACTATGATTTCTCTCATGTTTCGGATCAGGAAGTTGTGGAATATACTGTAATTAGTTTACTGATTACTGATATTACTGCTGATGGTTTTTGTTGTTGTTGTCGCTGCCCTTCTTGTTGTGAATATTATTCCTTTTGCTGGAGTTGTTCTGATTGGTTAATTCCTTGTTTTCATGATTCTAAGGGGAGCAAGCGAAAAAGTCGCTCCTCTGTGGACTATATATATCCATGTAACAACCCCTTTTTTAGGCTTGACGCTGCTAACGTCACCCTTTAAACAAAGCTGCTACAGTAACTTCAGTACGATGTCCCCGTGTGGGGACATGGAAATTCCGCACCATGTATGATAGAGAGGACATTGAGGAAACAGGCATAAAATGGATCCACACAAAACACTTGGTGGATCTGAACTTTGCCGATGATATATGTATGTCTGATTTCCCACAAACTGGAAGATATGCAAGTGAAAAGCAACACGCTGGCAGAAGAAGCATCCAGAAGTGATAGGACTTCAAGTGAACATAGAGAAAACAGAGGTGATGAAGATTCCTGGCTAACAGCAACAACAGACAACAACTAGGCAGCACAAATAGGAGAAATCTGAAAGAAGCAACCTACTTTATCTACCCACATACTGGGAAAGCATCATTTCAACTACAGGTGGAACTGACGAGGATATCAAAGCTGGAATCCTCGCACGACAGAGCAAGGCAAGCTTTCATAACTCTCAAGTCTGTGTGGAAGTCAACAACACTCAGGATGAAAAACAAGATGAATACTTTCAACACCAATGCAAAGTCACTGCTACTATATGGATCAGAAACTTGGCACGTCACGAAGGGCACTTTGAACAAACTACAGACCTTCATCAACAGCTGTCTTTGCTAAGTAATTCACTGAAGATCAGATGGCTGGCCAGAAGAGATCAGCAACAGGGATCTCTGGCGATGAACGAACCAACCGAGCAGGAATCAATTGTGCAACAAATATGCAAGAAAAGATGGAAGTGGGTTGGTCATACTCTGAGGAAACCATCAAGTGAGTGACACGACATGTCAGACCATCACTCGAGTGGAACCGAAATGAGTACGGGTGGTTAGTCGTCTGAGGGTGACACGGAGGAGGTCATGTCAAGAGGAGATGAAAGCATAAGGACAGATGTGGAGCCAGGTAAAAATGTTGGCAGAGAACCAAACGCAATGGAGACGTGGGACTGAAGCCCTATGTTCGTCTAGGAACTAAAGGAAACAATAATTCATACATACATACATACACAGTAATGACCAATCATATTTAAATAGGTTAAGTAGTCTATGGTAGGGGAAGGTTGAAGTCTACTGTTTTTTTGTACACATAATTTAGGATGTATGTGATTAATCACCAAAAGTGCGTCCATCACCTTTAATAACCCACCATGAATTAGAGTTATGTGATGAAATAATTGTGAAACAGTCACTGGTATTGATTTTGTGACCTGACATTAATAAGTGTTTCGCAGTGCATGGTGCTGGATTTCTATTCAGATTAATAATTGCAGTGGAATTTTCTATATGATTTAGTAGTCATTTTGCAACATGTTCTTTTTGACGACCATATTGGGACATTCTATTGGTTCTACCTATATAGGTGTGTTTGTGTGTGTGTGTCACCGCAACTGCAGGCGAACTTGTAGATACAGTTTGAAATAGAGTCCACAGAATTTCATCCTTTAATCGTAGGTACAGGAATCAGTGCTTAATAGCCTACCGAAGTTTTTGAGCTGTCAACTGCATAATCTGGTCACCCTTGAATGGTAGGTTATTAAAGATAGTTTTCTTTGGTACAGAAGCTGTTTATTAAAGATGTGGTCGTTCTATTCTTACTTGGGCAGTTGATAAAATTCTCTGGAAAACCATTAGCTAATTAAAACTGAATGCATGTGTCGAAGCTCATCCATCATGAACCATTCTCGATGTAAAAATGATTCAGTAAAGAAACTACGGAATGACGATATCATCTCGCGAAATTTGTCTTCTAAATGCCTGATTCAAATATACACATATGATTGGTTTTCTGATTAATTTGCACTTACTGTTGATCGATTTATTTGGACCAAACTGTTCGGTCTCTAACGGTATGTTGGCTCCTAGGATATTTACAAGTTCTAAATAGCAAGAAATGCGCATCTTGGATTCCACTGCTAATCACTGCCAATCGAAATACTCGTATAACGCCACTGTATATTATTATTATTGTATCCTGTAATTCCTAGAGGAACATAGGGCTTCAGCTGCGCATCTCCATTGCCTTCTCTTTTCAGCCAACTTTTTCACGCCGCTCCAAGTATGCCCACATGCTTTCATCTCCTCTTCACATGACCTCCTCCAAGTCACCCCACCCTCGCACTGACGACCAACTCGTCGCTTCCCTTTCGAGTTCCACTCAAGGGCTGCTTGTCTAGTGATGTCACTTGATGGTTTCCTCAGAGTATAGCCAATCCATTTCAATTTCTTCCTACCTATTTGTTTCACAATCGGTTCCTGGTTGGTTCGCTCATTGCCAGAGATCCCATCCTGTTGCTGATCTTTTCTGATCTTGCGTATTGAGCGAAGACAACTGTTAATGAAGGTCTGAAGTTTGTTTGAGATACTCATTATGACGCGCTATTCAAGTCTCTGATCCGTATAGTAGCACTGACTGGCTTCACATTGGAGTTGAAAATCCGGATCTTATTTTTGATGCCGATTAGTGCTGTTGACCTCCACACAGACTTAAGAGTAGTGTAAGCTTGTCTTGCTTCTCCGATTCTGGCTTTGATATCCTCGTCAGTGCCGTCTGTAGTTGAAACACCACTGTAACTTGTACTATTACTACTAGTAATACTGTAACGGAAGAAGACAAGAGACTTAGTAACGGGATGTACATTTGCAATTTGATATGCGCATATAGGGGAATGATGTATGCCGTATATTAAAATCGTCATTTGTGCAGATCCCTTGTGTTGTGCTATTTCTCCCCCCGAATCCCCCCCCGCACGCTGCGTATTGTGTTTATTTGTCATCTTTTAGTATCTCCCATGTTTTTAAGTATTGGTTTTGTAGGCATTTTGTCTGATTGGCTGGAGGATTTCATCATGAACTGATATCAGTTAGAGAACCATCGGAAAACCACCCAGGGAGTACTGGACAGCAGTTCCATCAGCCTTATTTGGAACTCTTAAGCAGGTGCTGTGAACCCAGCACCTTCTGGTTACAAGGCTAACGAGCTAGTTCGTAGACCATTAAGCCACTGGGATCCGATCCAATGATCAGTCCATGAATTCTAACTTCTGCCAATTCACGACAAAGCGTGACCACTTTGCAATATCTTCTTCGATGAGTTATTGCCTCACCATCAACATGTTGTACCCCACTGGTCATGGCTTTCCAGTAGAACCCCAGGTTACCTACTGTCTGAATAGGGCCAGTCTCTAGTAAGCGTCAGATGAATCTTCAAGTTTCGGTTTTGTAGGGATTTAGTTCTAATTGGTTAGTGAACCATCGAAAAAACCTGGGAGTACTGAACAGTATTCACCCACCGGGGTTCGCGTACTGCTGAACAGTCCCAGACTAGGACGAAACAGCTGTCCAGTAATCCCTGGCTGGTTTTCCAATGGTTCTCAAACTGATGTCAGCTGATAATGAAATCTCACATTTTTCACTGCGACACTGGTTGTTCATTTCTTCTCTTTTACATCAAATCTCTATCTCTCCGCTATTTAATATTTTTGTGCTAATGCACTACTTATAAATCTTGTGAGTAGCACATACGCATTGCTTTGGCTTATGCTAGAATAGTTATCAGGATTTTAATCTACACCATGAGAGTTTTCCAGTCTTCTCCCCATGCTAATCGATTATTATTATTATTAGTGGAAGTAGTGTACACTACACCAGATATATATCTGGTACTCTACTGTAAGTGAAAATTTGACCTTAAAATAGCACAAACAGACTCATTCACACACACACACACAAGAACACTTACAAACACACAGATACACCAGCACACCAAAGCTTTCTATAAAAGGTCATACAAGTAACCATGGTAACAATGTATAAGTAGTCTTTATGTGCATATAGATGAGGTGAATGCAGGGAAGGGGGCGCCTGGTTCGTGTGTGCATGAGTTCATCCGCACACACACACACACACACAAACATGTTGCTCTTGAGAGACACAGAGAGAGAGAGAGAGCTCTAAGGTTGTCTCTGTGTTATACTTATAGTAATATCGCATACTAATTATACAAGTGGGGAGGGGGGCGGAGATAATGTCTCAATGATTCAATTTACAGTTTAATTTATACACACGAGGGCGCGCGCGCGCGCGCTCAAACGCACCCACACACACGCACACTGTCGTTGAGATAAACAAACAAAGCCTTGAACATTGAAGATCAGGATAGGGACAGAGAGAGAGAGAGAGAGTATTCAAGCTACACATTATGAATTGTAGTTATCATCAATTGGTTATCTATGAACATGTTTGTTTGTTTGTAAGTGTGTGTGTGTGTGTGCGTGCGTGTATTTTATGTCCTCTGAGTTTATTGTAAACAACATGTGTAAACAGAATGAGAATATAAAGTAAATAAATAAATAAATCTATATGAAATCATCATTTTGTTCAACTTGTTTTCACCATCATCATTTCAGGATTTAGAAAACAAGCGACAACTCGACAAATTTCCCGCTCCTGTAATCTTGTTTCTTTCGTCATATCGTTCAGGGCAAATATATTGTAAACAGGTATGCGATATACGATAAATGATTTTGTTATTTTTTTTTAAAATTCATAAATCTAATTTATTTATTTATTTATTTAATTTGATTTTATTAACTCAAACGATTTTAATAAGTTCAATTTTTAAAAGGTAGGAAACTGATTAACTGTGATGTTATTAAGGGAGAATATGAATTGACTTCACTTAGTGAAGCATTGAAACCATTGAACAGGTATTTTGTCCTAGTTTGGGAGCAACTAGATATCGAACTCAAGGTCATGGGGTTACACGGTGAGCCTATTTAAGTTTTCAGTCACTGGAACGGAATGGCTGAATGGTCAATGAGATTGTCTTATAACCTGAAGTTGCTGGTGTCCAACCTCCGACGAGAGAGAAGTTTTTGAAGTGGTTATGTTCTCTGAGCAGCTGAATAGTTAATTTGTGAAGCTTTCATCACCCTACTAGGTGACATCTTCAGCGCATACTTCAATTTGAATTGAACTTTTAGCTTTCTTCACGAGTTTATTAATCATATCTCCCGGTGACTTTGGACGTGATCGCTTGCTTTTGTGTGGTTTCACACCTTCTAGATTACTTGTATTGGAACTGGTTGCTTCTTTGACTTGAACTTTGACCCTTTGTGTGTGAGGTTTCTTTCTTATCGGTTGGTAAATTTTGTCTATTTCGATGTGTCTATTTGATGATGATTCATTGGAATACCAGGCAGGCTTCTAAAAATTCTCTAGCATTCTTGTAGTTTCCTCTATCTAATATTTGAAAGTTGGTTGTCCCTGTCGAATCGATGTCCTTGGTTGTCTGTATGTAATGATATGAGTGATGGAGTGGATATCATGTCTTTTGACGTCTAGCTTATATTCGTGGATACGAAGACGAAGGGGACGTCCACTTTGGCCAATGTAGTGTTTTTCGCAGTTGTTACAGTTTATTTTGTAGATGATGTTGATTTTATCTTCTTTCGCTGTTGAGTCTTTTGGTTGACATAGAATTGAGTGAAGCGACGTTGTTGGTTTGTGTACTACGTCGATTCCTAAAGGTTTGAAGAGTCTTGTAGTGATTTCTGAGATACCCTTTATATATGGTAAGGCGATTTTCTTTGTGTTTTCCTTGAAGGCTTTTGGTTTGATAGGTTGGCTTGGGGGTAAATGTCTCTTGATGAAATTCCGTGGATATCCATTCTTTTGGAAGACGTCCATGAGGTACTTTTCTTCAATTTTCCCTAAGGTGGGAGTGCTGCAATGAGCCCTTGCCCTCTTGAATAGGGTTTGTTTGCATGTTTTGTGTGTTAACACACAAATAAACTCACTTCTGTTCAAATTGAAGTGTATGCGCTGAAGATATTGCCTAGTAGGGAGATGAAAGCTTTGCAAATTAACTATGCAGCTCAGGGAACACAACCACATCAAAATCATCCACCTGAGCTACAAATCTTCTCTAACATATCTAAATCTTACGAGAGGGAAGTTATAGGTGTATACTGCCAAGGAGTCTAAAAATAAGACGAAATCTTTGTCCAGTATTCCTTGGTTTCCAGTGATTATCTTTGACTGATGAAAATTCGTAATCTAACAGTGATGCATTTTCCCGTCACAAACTAGAGAATCAATAAAAACCAAATGGGGACTAAACAGGTGTTTCATATTAGCCTGAAGTTCATAGGCAGTTTATTATCCTCCTTATTTCGAGTGGAATATGAGATCTCTGAGGTATTACTTTCAGCTGATAAGGTTCTACGACTGTTTATGAGCTTTTCAATGTCATTCTCGGAATCACATGCCTTTTATGTTGCCGGCTTCTCATTTCTGGGGTTCCATTCAAGGGTTGGGATACCACTTGAAGCTGCTCTTAGCGTATGTCTAATCCGCCCTCATTTACTTCCTTCATAAACAGTGAACGAATACTCACCACAGTCATCATTCCATCTTGGATACAGTTAACTAAGCATGTTGTGACAATGAATAATGGTCGGAACTACCATGGATTAATCTAACAAGCTTAAGGTGATTGAATCATTTCGTATTTGTTCAATGGTTATGTTGTCATTGTGATTGGCAACGATTCTGCGTTCAGTGTTTACTCAAGTAAAGAGAATTTACAGATAAAAACTATGGGAATAAAAATAAACAGATTTCTAGTCCTGTCAGTTTCCTAATAATCCCCACCTGATTTCGGCTCATGCCCGTTGGTGGTTCGATGTTATAACTCTTACCAGCTATGTGGAACGTTTGAGTTCGATTCCCGGTAGAGGCATTCCTTGACCTTACCTAATTTACCAATAGGTAGTAATCCTGGGGAAGAGGAATGGTTGGGTGTGGGGCTGTAAGCCATTCCCCCGGTCTCCCCTGTATAATTAATACCACCGCTACCAAGACTCTGTCTGTCTGTTTTAGACATAGAACTTTGCACAAATGTGCGGAAGTTCAAGTCGCCACACTCCGTTTAGCACGCGAAGCAAGAGAAGAAAGTACAAGAAAAGCATAATAGAAACAGTGAGCAGAGGTGTGAGACAAAGGAGTAATAAAGAAAAACAAAACAGTTTCATTGGAGATCATAAGTCACAAGGAGTGGATGCATCTGCGCTAGCCACTGAGAACGATTTTGAGCCATGTCACCAAATGTTTCCAACCATAGATTTTTGCCGTCCCGAGGACCCCAGCCTGGAAGTCTACACCTTCCTACGTGGCTGGCTTAGACCAACTGTTGTGGATTTCATTGACCGGTGCCAAGTTTTTGTTTGACTCTAGAAATGCTTGAAGGACTATGTTCTAATTACGACGTGTAGAAATGAAGAAAAAGGAAGGTTTTGGTTTGCAACAAAAACTATTAATTTGCAAAAGATGGTTTGTAGGCAATTGATTGATTTCTAGTGAACTAAATTGAAATTGGACGAATTTCTACAACAATTTTACCGATTGAAAAAGTCTATTAAAAGTTTTTGAAACGAATGGCACAGTGGTTAGGACTCTCACCGACCATGCACATGGTCCAAGGTTCAATCCCCTGCCTACGCACACCTGGTATTTATGGTTGGCCTGCAGAATTTCGGCTACCGATATCACATTCTGAAAATTCCATACTTGTGCCAAATGTACTCTGTGGAATCAAGCTATAATCAAAAATAAAAAAAGTAATAAAAAATAATAAAATAAATATTCTTTTTGATAACCTGTTCTTCATCAGGTTCTATAGTCATACATCCACCCATAATAGTGAATGGATGAATTAGTGTTCTGAAGAACATTAATGTTGTCTAAATAACATCGAATCAATAATAATATCAATGGATTACATTTCGATAGTATCAACACAACTCTACACACTGAATATCAGACAGAGAAATTAGGAAAGATAACAATAAAAATTGGTGAATTTATGGTCTTCATTGAAGGCTAGCCAGTGCAGTAGTAGTGGCTGTGTGGACTTGCTTCTTCTGCATACAGAGCACCTGGTTGTTTTAGGCGAATCGCAACAGACCCTGTTGTTCAGAGTCTTAGGTACCTGGGTCTTTTCGGCAATTTATTTGTTACCCAGTAGATGATAGAGATGGATTCTTCAACGTTAGCTAGCTTTGTGGCCAGGTGACTTAATAGTGAAGTGTTAATGGTTTTTACTATACCTTTACTCAGATACACTGATCAGTGTTCACAAGCACGAAAAATTAAGTTCTTAGACCGACGGCCAATATAACTCCCTTCATCACAAGTGTGGTTGAATTATTTGATACAAGGTGGCTAGTCTAGGTACTTCATTTTTCAGTTGAGGAATCATCACTGATCGTGTAGAAAATAATACTTGTCGTTCGCCAACGCTAGAAGTTCGTATATATAAAGGCTTCTTGTTTACGGGATAGTGAATATTCCTTTTCAACTTTCGCAATCATATGTTTCCTGATGAACTTCTCTGGATAGCTATTTCCAGTTAAGGTGTCATGTACAATCCCAAGTTCATCTTCAGTTCCCTCTTCTGAGCATAGAGCTTTAACCCTGTGACTGAGGGTCCTTAGTAAACTTCTTTTATACTGGAGAGGAACAAAGCTATGAAAATATGTATATTGTCCTGTCCATGTGCTTTTCCTATGCAAATTTCTCTCTATTCTACCATCTGGTGTTCTTGTAAGGAGGGCATCTAGGAAGGCAATTAATTCTATTTTTGGATTCCTCTTAGCACGTGAATTACATAACAGAATGTACTTCATTGGACTGAGTTTTCTCCTACCCAAGTCATTATCACAAAGAATTAATGTGTCATTCATAAACCGGCAATAATATGAGAATTTTCTGATAAGATGGTTATCTAAAGGTCTGATTTCTAGTTTACTTAGAAAGAAATCGACTAAAATGGGACCCAATGGGGAGTCCGTCGCCGTCCAGTCCATCTGCCTGTCCTAAAAGTCAACACTTGAAATTTAATCTACTGCTCAACAGTGACTGGAAATACGATGAACTTCCCTAGAGTTCTAGTGAGAATTCATGACCAGTAATTGTGGTAAAACATACTCACCGATGACTTAGCTGATGATGCCGCTACATATCTACCTTAGAAAACGTTATTACAGACAAAAATAACTCGAAGTGTGTAAAGAGACAAATAAAGTATTCGTTTACATCACTGTTAATTATTAATAATACAATCGTTGTATATACTACTAATTGACTGATATCAGTAGTTAGCCATCGCCCACATCAATCAGTATTGCTTACTAACTACACTGAATCGATCTAAACACCCGACTGCTATTTCACTCGTTTGCAGCCGAATTTACCAGTGGTGTACTCCGTCTAACTAACCTCAGAAAGCCAAATCAGTCTCGAATTAATCTGATAGCTTGATTAAATATTATTAAAAATCAATAATCAAGTGTTGGTTTGTAGGGATTTGATTGGTTACAAGATTTCATCATGAGCTGATATTGGTTAGAGAACCATAGGAAAACCTGGGAGTACTGAACAGCTGTTTCGTCCACCTAGTTTGGGACTCTTCAGCAATACGCAACCATCGGGGTTCGAA